ATGAAATCAAACACCTCAACAGACATTCGTGTTCCTCCGATATTCTGGCCCACAGGCTATCTCGGATACTACAGACATAACAGTGCAACTAAGTTTCATTATCAATGCCAATTTAAGGGCAATCTAACAGAGTAAGTAGTTTGACTTAAGAGTTTCTTTTAGGAATTCTGGGCTGGCAACAGTAACGTCTGTCTGTCTGAAGTGACAACTGAGAGTTTAAACTTCAGGTTTGCCTGCACTGCAACATGAGGAATTGCATTTCTAACCCCCAGCTATGTATTCATTCTCCTGCCATCCGGAATGAGTTTTCAGCCACCTCAGAGTGCTTCAAACTAACGAGCACAGGCAGTGTGAGCAGCAGCACAGAGGTAGCAAGAATCTGATCCATCTGCCTTGGACCCTTAAAGTACTATTTATTTTCTGAAATACTTTAGAACTGTGTCATTAACACCATGCTTCTGATTTTACATGGAACCTGCTTTTAAAAGATATTTTGGAGCATAAGTTCTGCACAAAAATACTCCATGTATGTTTTTTACTATGAGAAGCTTCCCCCTCTGCCACACTACATATTATTGAGTAGGAGAGATTACCTAGTTGAGAACCATTGTTCACAGTTTAATATTCAAAATTTCCATCTTTTATTTCTTCATAACTATGGAGGATAAAATCTCACATATTAATGGGAGTTTGCCTTAATAAGAAAGCATTTAAACAAGCCAACAATAATAAGCTTAATGAAGGCCATTCTTCTGCTTTTGTCAATATTTTCATAGCGACAAATAGATCAAACACAAGGCTTTCTTTTCCCTCTGTAAATCATAAATACTTTGGCATATTTAATTTCAAAATGAGTTTCCTCTGGATCAGGCTAACACAACGGGTAAAGAAAATCTTCCCAAACCCTTCTGCATCTTAGATGGAAAAGTACACAAAATCATCTTTTGCTATGTCCTTCTGTTCCTCTTTCCCCTGTATCTAAGGACCAAGCTGTCTGTGCTAATCAAAAAAAAAGTTTGTTAGTCCTGTTCTGAGGCTTCAAATCATACTCCTCATACTCTTCAAAAACGTATATACAAGGCTTCAAAACATACTCTTCAACATATACAAGAGTAACACATACTCTTTCTAAATAAATGAAGAATTTCAGACTATATTCAGAGGAAAATATTCCAGTGCCTAAATATTAGCTGTACCATACAGATACAGCTGGCATATTCAGAGATAGAAAATTCCCCCCTGCAAGATGAAAAGCAAAAGGAATACCTGTGTTTTGTGCCAGTCTGCACAGGTACTACTTGGTGTTTGTTTTTGAAAGAAGGGTTCAAAACATGTTTGAAGACTCAGGGGAGTATTACTCTCTAAAGTGTGCCAGTTTTAAACCTTCCTAAGCAAGGTCAGGAGACACTTCTGCCTGCTGAGAGGTATTTGTAAGACTTGACCAACTTTTCCATGTAAGGGCATTGGTCAGACTGAGAAAATAGTCCTCTGCAATACTTGCTTGTCAGAGGGGCTTTGATTTGCAGCCTTGATTGTCTTTTCTGCTGTCTTTCTGTCCTTCCTGGTTACACATGACCAAGGCCCTCAGTGAAAAGCAGAGCACAGCAGTTCTCTGCTTTAGCACACGGACACCAGCCCTCGGTTACTGGACAGGCTGGGCTCGGTGCCCTGCCCCGCTACCTCGGTAAGTCCTGTTCCTGGACTCAGGTCCAGTAGGAACTGCAGGCCTGGTCCAGCCTGGGGCAGAAGTGAAGGCAGCAGTGGCAGGGGTGGCAGTGAGAGCTCTGTGGCTGGGGCTGTGCCACAGCCCTGGGGAAGAGGGGACCTGGCTGAACCACCTCCTTCCTCCTGCAGCTGGGTCAGAGAATGGACTCCTACAACTGCAAGTGACAGAACAAGCTTTCTGTTTGATAAATAACCACCTCTTCCAGCTAGCCCAGGCAGCTGTGATGTCCTTCCAAGGAAGCAGCCTGGGATCACCACTTCCTTAGGTGTCTGGTGCCCTGCTTGGCCCTCATCCAAACAAAGTGTCCCCTCTAAACATTTTGCAAAAGTGGTAGAAATAGCAACAAATTACTTACAAATGGCATTCTGAGATGTAATAAACATCTTTGGAGTGTGAACACAACACAAGAAATGCTAACCCTCGGAGCAACAACAGCCCCCTTTTGGTGCAGCTCCAAAAGATTGTGAATTTCAGCTTTAGCATGGATGTGGCCTTGGCTACTTACAATGTTATTTGAAACAACTAAAATGGGTTTTTTCTGTGTTTATTTTGGAGCTGGCTATTTTTAAGGTCACAGTCCCTGCAAAGGGAGGAAACTGTGTCTCTGAGGTACTGGGAATTAAACAGAGGAAAGAAAAAGGCATAGAGAAAGCAGCTGTCCTAAAGAGAACTCAAATATTTTGTTTCCTTCCTTGTTCAGTCTGTAGTCAAAAAAGAACTTCACAGTAAATGTTAACTCATGTTATTTTAAAAAATGAACATAATTCCAAATTTCACAAGAATTCTTTTTTAACTCCTGAAACCCATTCTGATAAACTGGAATATAAAGGGACATTCTCCCTTAAGGATTGGCTTTTACAGTGTCAGAGGCTAGGCTGATCTCTCCCCTGTCCGTGGTGACACACAGTGCCACCTACGTCAAGCCAAATATTTTTGTGCAGGTTTTGAGATCCTTGGAAACCCCAGTCAAGACAGAAATCCCACACTGCAGAGGGCACATACTGCACTGCAACCACATACTTTTGTGCCAAGAACCAGAGGAAACCAGTGCCAAAGAGATGGTGCAGGAAAAGACACAAGCAAAGACAATGAAGGAATTCCACCCTAGGGAAGAGGAGAACCTACTGTTACCAGCCTGAAGACTGCCCTGTCCCTGGTCAGGAGGTCCTGTGACATGTTAGCACAGCAGAGCTGCACTCCGTGTCTGACACCAGGAATTCACTTTGGAGCCTTAGTTCTTAAATAATGCAGAGAAGGATCAAAGCCAGCAGCTATATGAAAAGAGGCTTCTATAACTTAATTGCTCATTTGCAAAATACCAATGTTATTCATTTAAGCAACTGTGACCTTTTTTGATGCACTGGAAATGTAAATGCTCATGTGTGGGTATCAGAAGAACATCATGATAATAAAATACTAATACCTTGCATCAGGAGTTGCCCAGTTAACTGTGCTGGGATAGCATGCCTACAGAAATGGAGCTGCACTGTACTTTGCTGAGGCAGGGGTTACAGCTGTTTCCAACTCTGCCCCAGGCTCTGCCTTTGCAGAAGACAAATACATTTGGAGCCATTTTTCAGATGTCTTTTTCTCATGCAAGTACCATGAGAAATACACTGAGATTTTGGGAATACCTCTCCTTAATTTGCCTCTGCTCTTCTTGTTGTATCCCGGCTTATGGTGGATGTCTGCTCCTCTAGCTGTAGTGCCAAGAAACATTATTCTGAGGTGCACAAGATGTCTTCTGCAGCTCTAATTAAACAGATCAAGCACATACAGGCAGGGAACGGCATGTGCACACCAGTCCAGAGGACATGTAACGTCAATGAGAATTGGAACAGTTTGACTGGAACAATATCAAGAAGGTTGATAGAAAATGAAGGAAGACACCTCCATGCCTTAACATGGTACAGCACTGGATACCATCTGTTCCTTATGAAGATGTCAGCACACAGACATAACGATTAAGGCAACATCCCTAGTCTCCACTTATTACTTGGGCCAAAGTGGAATAAAGAACACAAGGGAAGTGCAGCAGTTCTTGAATAGCAGATTATAAGAAGCTCTGGGGAGAAAAAAGGGGATGGGGATGTATAAACAAGAGTTCTAGGAGTGGAAAAATATGGAAAAATTTATTCAGGTTACTCCAAGACTGTTAGTTTGCTCAAAAAGGGCACACTCTGTCTCATGCCCAGGTATTGCAGTGAGGATATGCTTCTGTTTCAGTTACGTTTCTCAGATTTGTTCCTCAAATATGTTTCTAAAAATGGGACAGGAGACCACGGCAATTATAATTTTCTCTTCCAGAAATTTTCTTTTAGATGCATGTGCAATTTACCTTTAGGGGATATCTACCTGTTCGTATGCAGCCTCACCTCAGTAGGTACACACCTGTATCCTACTTTCCAGTGACACTGAAGAGTTATAAAGCTTTTTATTTTAATCACCTGCACAAACATTCTTATCTTACCTTAAGGTAAGAAAGCAAAAAGAGATCAGAACTAGGACTGGTGTCAGTGGAAAATGTGTAACCTCACTATCCCACGTAAACACATTAGTAGGCTCTAACAAAGTCAAGCAACACTGTGAGCTATACTTTCCAACTGAAGAGTCCTCAAGGTATGTAAGAGCCACACATGTAGAATGACAGCACCAGTACAATTCAGAAATAAGAGTATGCAGCCATGTGGTTACCACATTAAAAAAACAAGCTTTTAAGGGTTCAGGATGGAGATTAAAATCTGTAATGTGTATTTAGATAGTGAATACACAATACTTATATTTGTGTTTTGGGACTTGTTCTATTTAAATTCTGCTGCAATCAATACATATGGAAACCAATGCCAGACTCCTCAAACTGATGATGTTCTTCAGTGGAGTCTGAACATGAGAATATTCCTCCTGACATGCTGAGGTGATGCTCAGCTTGATGTTGAGGCTTACCAAGAAAGATGTGAATAATTAACTCTGAAAGAAAGTGGAAGTTGCATAGATAGGAAGAGCATTGTGTTACACTTGACCAAAGCCAGAATGCCACGTTGAGGGACTGTGGAGGTTGCCATGAGTTTGGGCTGTGGTAGGGTGTTCTAAATGAGCATACCTGAAGGGAGGTAGTGGTTTTGGTCTTCTAGCCTTCCGAAGGAATAAACACGTCCCAAAATGTGAACAGCCTACTGTGTTTTTAGTAATGTTTCTTAAAAGCACATTTGAGCTACAAAGTAAAAAAAAAAAAAAATCACTCTCTCAACTTTTTAATGCATATTAGGTGACTTACCAAAACACTTCTTTTTTTGAGTTACACTACTTCAAGACTCCTTGTTGGCTTTGACATCTTATCTGGAACAGCCAGTGGTTAACAGACTCTGGTTTCCATGTTATTAGTGAGTCTGAAATAAAAACCAAAATTTTGTTCAGAATTACTTTTATTCTCCATACATCAATGAACACAAGGACTATCAAACTTCAGGTTTATTACACCATGATTTGTTATCTGGCAATAATCCCAAATTACCCCTCAGGACTGTTCAAAGCTGTAGCAGAGTTATGCAGTGCATTTGAGATAACAAAAATCTGCAAAGTGTCACTGTGGATGTAATAATGTATCTGTAATTACTTCAAGCATCCCAGCAACAAAAGCAAAAATACACCATCTTCCTCTGTTAGAAAGTTGTTCAGAAGGTAGTTTTAGCTTCAAGAAACTAGAGCTGCTCTTATTAAGCAGGACACATTATAACTGTGGTCTTTTCTGTCATCCTCAAGTCTGATATCACAAGTATCCAATACCTGAAAAAGGTTGTAAATTGTCACTGGCAAAATATCTTCTAATTCAGAAGGAAAGCACACCCATGATGGAATGTGAATTGTCCGTTATTGCTTTTAAAGCTTCATGACTCAGAGTAGAGATGGGCCTGCCATGTCAGTAAGAAAGTACCAGCTTCTTAACACATTCCAGCCAACAGCAGCTGCTGTGCTCTTCCAATATTCTCTCACCCTGCCCAAGGCAGAGCTCCTTCTAAAGGAGTTTTGATGGGGTTTTAGTAGTCAGATGGTGGGGGTTGGTCTCTTCTCCCAAGCAAGAAGTGACAGGACAAGAGCAAATGGCCTCGAGCTGTGCCAGGGGAGGTTCAGGTTGGATGTAAGGAACAATTGCTTCACTAAAAGGATTGTCAAGCGTTGGAACAGGCTGCCCAGGGCAGTGGTGGAGTCACCATCTCTGGAAGGATTTAAAAGATCTGCAGATGTGGTACTTGGGGGCGTGTTTTAGTGGTGGCATCGGGAGTGTTTGGTTAACAGTTCCACTTAATGATCTTAGAGGTCTTTTCCAACCTAAAGAATTCTAAAATTCCTTAACAACAGAGCAAAAAAACGTAACTTCCCTTATACTCCAGTATTCCTAATGACTTAAAGTAGTATTAGTAAGATACTTTTAAATAGTAGCTGGTCCAATTACTCACCATAATGTGGGAGGAACATGATGTATGTGTGAGTAATTTATATTGTGTTGTAGTTTTATAGACTTTTATAAACTTTTATATAGTTTTATAAGTTCTGTAAGTTATAAGTGCCAAGATGGCTGCTGGTCTCTTTGCTAGAACAAAAGGAAATCAGTGCCAAGAAGAAGGTGGAGTTCAACAAAGTAAATAATTGCCTTGTTACCTGTTAATAACCAATTATAAATGTATTTGTAATGCATGTTTACATCTGGACAGTGACCTGTAACCAATTATGTCCTTCTTGTCACGAGACCTTGTATACAGATGCTATAAAAACCCTAAGCTATCCTAATAAATCAAACATATTTTAGATCTCATAGGTCGTGTATGTATGCCTCGGAGCCTCCCCGCCAACACCATAACACCAGAAAAAACATGTTCTGATATAGCTTAAAATATATTAAAACCATTCAAAATTCGGTCGGTTCTATCCTTCAAGTCAAAGGGAGCAAACCAAGAAGATGAGTTCTCAGGTATAATTCATGATGTAGCTTTCAGGTACTGAGCAGGCACAACAGTTGGTATTCCTCAAAGCACTGCATTGAGAACGCACAGATGAATGAAAGAATCACACAAGATGTGTGTGTGCCTCAGTCAGCTTATCCTTTCTTCCACCTTCTGCCTTTTCCTTATACTTTTCCTGAAGCAGTATCTTTATCCTTTTATATTCCTGCATTTCTACAGATAATAACCAAAACAGTTACACACCTCACTTCTACTGCAACCAAATTGTTCTAAAATAAACCTGCCATATATATGTATACATGTATATATATATACACATATATATGTGAAAACACTGGTCATTCAGTGTCTTTTCACTCTCACCTGCCCCATGGGATCTCAGTTATCCTCACCTTCAGGGGCGGGTCATAACATTTCCCTCCCCAAAATTATTTTTCTTGCCATCAGTACAGATTAGGCTCCCAAGTCTTCTTACACACACAATGTCAAATTGAACTAATCTAATCTATTTTCTTCTCTTGATACATTTTTTTCTACAATGGTTATATACCTATTTGTGTAGATCTGTATTCCAAACCTCACTCCATTATTTTAAATAGTAAATACTAGCTTTAAAAGACAAGGTAAAATACAATAAAATACAATAAATAACAACTTCTTAAATTATAAATAATACATTAAAAATAAAATCAATACTCAGCCCCCACCATCAAACCTATCACTTAAAACTGCTCTGCTTCTATTAGGAAATTAAAGTTTTATGCCACCAGTACTGAGACCCAATAGAAGCCTGATCCTTTGCTCATACAATCCCTTCCTTTTCCTCAAATCTCAAAGTCAGCTCTGCCCTGGTTCTCTCCTTCCCATGCTATCTGTGCACTAAGGATTCCTTTCCGCTTTCCTTGGCCCATTATAACTGATACACATTTAACTATGCACATACATACCCATAAAATAAATAACATGTTCCACATTTTTATCCTCTGAAATATCAATTAAGGAATTGCCTTTGGTAACAGTCTGCTCTTTTGTCTATGCATTACCAGCAAAAGAATAACAGTGTTCAATGGATTTCAACCAAGAATTAACACAGGAATGAAAAATATTTTACGCCGTTCCCTTTCTTTATATGCGCAACTAAACCAGGTGTGTCTCCTCATACTCATGCAGACAGACACAGTTTTCATACAGTTATAAATAATCACTGAGCATATCAGAACACTAAAAAGTTAGTGGGGAACAAAAACAGAAAAAGCCTATCTGGTTTTGTTTATTTATCACTGTTTCCTCTCCTAAGTCAACTGGTTTGACATTGCTGAAAGAAAACTTGTCCAACAACAGCAGAAAAAAACAAATGAAGCCTTGGATTATTTTTTTCCATAAACTAAAAGCAAACCAAAAGAGGGCTCAATATTTCAATGACACTAGAAACGATGCACCAGACTTGACTGGGGAGGAAAGTGGCAAGCTAAGCACATCCCTTTGGCTCTCCCATTTTGTTAGTTCTTCACTAGTGTGTGTACCTACAAAAGACTTCAGCTGAATTCCAGTTAATCTCTCCCTTGACTATCATGGAGACATTCTATTTAAACAAGTTCTCATTTCCTTCATGTCACATTATGTGTTTCTTCCCTGGAAGTGCAGTGTGTTGTCCTGAGAGGGTGATACAGGTAACGTTTAATATCTAATTGTAAAATAATAGTAGCATTTATCAACCCTGAGTTCCACTGGCACTACTAATTCTCTCAACATATACCCACGTAACTGGGACCACAAACTCTGGGAACTCCAAAAACCATTTTTACCTTGAGCAGCAGGAAAGGAGGAAAGACAAGAGAAACCCATTTGCATGGAGACCAGTGACTAAACCAAATCTCTCTCCTGGTTCTGACAGTTGCCCTTAGAACTTTCTCTCACTCTCCCCAAAACACAGTGCTTGTGCAATCAAAAGGAAGCAAGAAAAGCAAACGATCCATAAAACATACCTGAATTTCCCTTTCAACGGCAGCTTGTTTTCCATTTGCAGTTTTGCACTGAGCATTCATTATTTCAAGAGCAGAACAGCGGATGAACCACAAAGTCTAAGAGGAAGTCTTTAGTTTCAATTTCCTTTGTGTAATCATTGATAAAATATCCTATGAGTAGACACTTACAAGACACTGAGAGATCTGCAGAGCTACAAGGATGTAAATGAAATATGTAAACTAAATGACGTACTAATACATACCATAAATGTAGGTATAACCCTAAAAATCACAAGTTCTGTCTAAAATTAATAGAATTTCTTTTTACAAAAAGATCACAATCTTTGTTAGTGGAATATACCACTTTTACCTGAAGTATCACTGCATTTTCTAGACTTCTTGAATCAAGTGCTGCTTTACCACATACACTCTAACAAATATTATTTCAGCAAGTGTCCCTAGAGGAGTCATACTCCTGGATTAAACAGCTTACTGGAGCCCTGACACCCAAGGAAAAGACTTAAAAAAGCCTTTCTATAGTTAAATGTATACTTGTTTCCAATATTAATACCCTGCTCCAGAATAGTGTGACATGTAAGAAAACTGAAAACATTCTGGCTCTGTGGAAACACTATGCCTGAATTTTACACTTTTTAATTTTATTTTGCTTTTCATTTTAATTACCAAAGCATACAGAAGTTTAAGTATTGAAGGTTCTAAGAATAAATTCATTAAAATTGTAAGTTTATTTATCTAAGGAGAGAAAAATGAGAAAACTGAAAAACAAGTGCAAAATATTTTTAGTAATCAAAATGAAGTAACTGACATTAAGAAGGAAAGGGAAATTTGTATTTTGTTTTAATACGAAATTTTAATATAACAGCTACTTAGGGTGGCATTTTAGAGCTCACATAAATATTTTAACATTCTAAACTGCATCTTTACTGAACTGTACCTAATCACATTCATTATTATCATTTTCACTGAAACAGAAACGTGGTAAACATACATTTAATCTCAGTACCTTAATGCAGTAACAGAGCTGTACCTTTGCCTGCACTCTATGTCCATCTGCACTGTGCCCAGGACTATTTTCAACTGGAAATGATTCCCTAGGCTACAAATGCCCAGTAAGATACATAACGGGCTGCAGCATCGAAATGGCTTCCGGATGGAGGCAGCAGAACCTGAACTGTCACCTCCAGCTCCACTTCTCAGTGACACAGAGGCAGACTCCCACAAATAGCTGGTAAGTTATATTAAGATATTGTGTGATGTGCTGCCAGGGTCTTTACCAGGCCTCCAGTGAACAAAGGTCATAGACTGCTTATTTACAGATCAGAAGGATACTGTACAAACCATGTAGTTTTAGGAGCTTGTGCTTCTAACCAAAATGATTCTGTGAAACAATGCAATGTACACCACATCTTGAGAAATGACATTAATTGAAAGGTGTCCTCTTTA